CAGTTCTTCATAGAAAGTGTTACATTTAAAAGGCTAGTAACTACTCTTGCCTTGACTTTCTATTTTGCGGACTAAAGACTAAAGTTTAAATGGAACATACAACAATTGAGACCTTCACATACAAAAGGGAAGACCTTTTCCCTACTCTGTGTGTGTGATAGCAACAGGTATGTTCTGTTAACGTTCTTGGACCAAAGAAATGAGAGGTTCCTCTTTAAAGGTATATTATTCTTCTAAATCAAATTTCTAGGTATTTAAAATGAGTGTGAAAATTAATAAACTCTTTTTCTATAGTATCTCTATGTTCTAGGTCACTGTCTATAAAGATGCCAGATAAGTTTAGAAACCGCTGCTGTGCTCAGCATAAGAGATGCAAGATTTTTTTATACAGAAGTTATACTTTTTTCATTAGATCAATTGACATTTATTTGAAAAAAATAGGCATGTGTTTGCCTGTGCAGCCCCTATTCAGGTTTCCAGTCTGTTGGTGTATTTGTTGTCCTCACCTTGATTTGAAAGTTTTGGTGAATGTTGTGTAAATGTTGTAGCTCTTACAGCTGACCTGGGTTAGCTTGTTAGGGCTAAGGCGGTGCTAACTAGCTTTTGGTTACCCTGGTTGTTGCATGAGACCTTGGTGGACATAGAGAAGCTGTATTCTGGTGTCCCTCCGCTGTTTGCTTCCTTTACCAGCATTTGGACGTGTCCTAAAGTGTAGACCTTGTGTTCAAAACAAATGAACAAAAAAGCAGGTTGGTTGAAGTACTGATGCTGCTAAACCAAACCTCATTAATGATGAATTCCTCAGATGGATTGCAGCTAAACAGATGTTTTGCAATTCTTGACTTGCTTGCTTTTAACAGAATTTTATTAAAGAATTATATGAGACTAAGAGCTTGGTTATGTATTTTTTTTTTCTTGGATGTAGTTAAGAAACATAAAGTATTTCTTCTTGGACTCTATCCTGTCTTCAGTAAAACATTTTAGTTAATATGCATGGGAAAAGATGTTTCATTTTGAGAATCAAGGCTATTGCTCAATAAATTGTCTTATTGTCTTAAATGGTCGTAATATTCTTAAAGAATGTTTCCAAAATATTGGAACAAGTACAGAAGTGAGATTATTGTGCCATAGAAAGGAAAGAATACATGAGCATTTGTCTGCTTAATCAGCCCTATCATTAAAACAGCTATGTCAGCATCCTTTGTACTTGCTCCTTGGCTACAGCGCTAAAGTAGAGCAGGGCATGCAGGATTTTCTCAGCTTTAGTAGCTGACCTATAAAGCTATTAGAGTCACAGGTTTTAAAACTGGGACATGTACAGCCATACAAATATTCTAATAATCTCTGCTCCTAGACATATGTATGGAAAGTCTGTTTACCAACCACAAGTGAGTATCTTTAAAAGGCTTTTTTTTTTCCCTTTTTATAAAATAATGTAGTACTTGAGAAATACTGTTACAGTGGAAGGATATTTCACTGGTGAATAGGTTTGAATGGGACCTGAGCAAGCTGTTTGGTGACGAGTTTAGGGAAAGGAGTATGCTACAAAGGCCTTCACTCCCACCCCTCTTTCCAGAGCCTGGGGGCAAAATTGGCTTGCACTCAGGTTCAGCATAAACTTGGAGGAAGTGAGGAATCTTAGATGTCTTGGAGGGCAAAGTTAAAAAAAAAACAAACACAACCCAAATGCCAAGAAATAGTAAAAACCTTTTAAAATGGATCATTCCTGAAACCTAATGACAGTGGAAGAGACTGTAGGAAACAGAACCATCCTTACAGGAATGGTTGTGTTACTCTGGTAAATTTATTAGGATCTTCCCGGGACATCAGATGGGAAAACATTTAGTATCCAGTGCAACCTTGTATGACCTTTGTGTCCCAGTTTTCAGTTTAGCTTTGGCTTGGGAGCAATGAGACAACTCACCCTCTTGGTTGTTAATGGAGGGGGCAGCAGAGAACCAATTATTGGATCATTTTTGCCACTTGTTTTTGGTGGTTGCTTTTAAAAAGAAATTTTATTTATAATTGTTATACAGCGTTATGAGAAATTCCTCTCATGCTAGAGGGAGATGATGTGAACTAGACTGATAACGCATTGTACTCAGAAAATACTGCTTATGTGGTTTAGCTTTTCCCCTGCAAATGCCCACTTCTGAGGGGTAGTACTTCTTATTTGGAATAGATTTGGAAGAGATGGAATGATCATTAATCTCTTTTAGAGATTTAGACCACAAACTGAAAACACATGAAATGGCACTGGATAGAGAAATTGCTAATTATTGACACATTTTTCCATAGTTAGAGCTGAAGTTTGTATTTGGTTGATTAATACGAACAATGTAGGAGATAAATACCTATTAGGACTGCTTGTATTGATGAACCTTTTAAACTTGCCAGAATTTAACAAGGTGTTCCTGGTAGAAAAAATGCCACATGATAAATAATTACTGTAAATTATGAATGTTATTTAAAAAAAAAAGGACTAGCCAAACTTGGCAGAAAATCATTAACTTTGAGAATGGTTTCAGTATGTGCCAAAGATGTGCTCAAGATCAGGTTACATAAGTTAGATTCACAAAGGGAAGACCCTGACCTGCTTGAGCTGCATGGCTGTAAGACTTTTTCCAGCTGTTTAATCTTCACTTATGGAAACTAAAGCTTTGCGTTTTCTGTCCTAAGTATTTTGGGTTACTTTATATTAGTTCTTTGAAGCTGGAGAGTACTGGCAAGAAATCTAAAGGGTTGAACCCCAGCACTATGAACTTCTAGAGAATATAATGACTGATTAAAGTATTCTCATGCATGACTTGTCCAGTAATGCCATCCCATAGAAAATACACCACCCAGCTGGGGAGTTACCAGCATTTATTCAGATGTAACTTCCAGTTGGTACAACGTCTGTCTTTCTGAATTCTCAAAGGGTTTCAAGCGTGCTCTCTATCAGGAAGTGGGAATGACTTGCCACAGTGGTCCTGCTCTCACACCGTTCAGCTCATGAAAGAGGAGCAGAATTTGGGAGTTTCCTGTGTCACATCAGGGAGGTTTGTCAGTTCAGCTTTGCTGTCAACAATGATTGTAGATTTTTCTTCTTTAAAAGAAAAAGGTCAGTCTAGATACAGCAGTAATGAATAGAAGAATGAGCAGTGGCACAGCCTCTCCCTCTCTGTGTGATGGACAGTGAGCACAGAGGAAAGCCATGAAAACCAAGAGGGCTGCAAGCCCTTTGGCCTCTAGATAAACTGTCTCCACAAGGGTTTGCTATCTAGAATGAAAATGAGTGAATAGCTACTGTTAAATGAAGGTGCTGTTCTTCAAATAATAAGTAATTTTCATTCTGGAGTAGATAATTTATGCCTACTACTCAGGCAGCAATTGTGCTTAATATGCTACATTAGCTGCTTGAGCAGATAAAATCTCAAGAGCTAAAGATCTTATTTTCATGCAGATAAGGCTAATAAGAAAATTAAAGGAAGATAAAACTCTGAGAAAGTGAAGTCATGAACAGAGCAAGGTATACCCTGTCGAATGAATGAAATGTTACCAGACTTTCCTGTAAAGGAAGCAGGGAGAAAGGCTTTTAAATTGGGACACCCTGAGCTCCACACCTGTAACATAATGGAAATGGAACTGACCTCTTTTGGCAAAGACGAGCGTGATGGCTCTTTTTTCATTCCCTACGTAGAGAGCAGTGCTTCTTGCTTTCTTCAGGAGACCATGTGTCTCACAGGTGGCATGAGCCACACACCAGTGTTGGCAGCAGGTGGGGTTTTGAGTCTCAGAGTAGTTGCATGCAGGTAACAAATGAGAGACTTCTTTTGGTGTTCTCTTTAGTCTGAATCTAATAAACCAAACTCTGCTTTGGTAATTTTCTTTATCTCTTAGACCTATAAGATAGAGGTAAATTGTTTTCTATATTTACGCTATTAAATTTGATAAAATCCAAAAGGTTTCCCAGGGTCATCTAGTTTAACCTCAACTACTACGCACGTCTCCACACTCTTGTATTCAGCATTCTGTGTTCATTATTCATCTGATCTCCACATCTTTTCTCAGAATTATACCCCAGATGCGTATTTGTCAATGTAGCAAATCTATTTCTTTTCTGCTAGTAATCTTTTCACTGATGAATTCACACTTTCATTTTAAGGTGCATAATAAAGCATTTGGGTCACATAGAGCACAAAGATGGTTGATGACAGTAGCAACTAGAATGAATACATGTAATCTAGAAATTTCTTCTCCTGTACGTGAAACTAATGTTCTTGTCCAAAATAGATTTATTTTTGAAAAGCATATTAATGACAAATTTTTGAAATAGAGGTTGTTATTTTCTTTCCTTAAAACATCAGTATCTCATGCTGCTGTTTTCTGTACGTACATGAGATGTAGATGAGACCATTCCAGTGGGAGTCAGTTGTCAAGTAGGATTGATTATTTTTATATTTTTTTTAAAAAAAGTTTGGTAATCACTCTTCTACTCTTGATTAAAATTAGAATCTTGTTTCTCCATTTGAACTAGCTTGCACTATTTGTCTAAACATATGAGTCATTAGTCTTTTCCTTCTTAGTATTTATTTGGTTATCAATTACCTGTTTGGAATTGTTCTGAAATATGTGATAGAACTTTTATTTTAATGTATCTTTATGGAGGATTTCTGATTTGGTTTTGATGGTCAGTTGAGTGCCCTTTAAGCTACATCATCAGCAAATATTGGGTAGGTTTCTTCCATAACCGTGAATACATTAAGTGCTGGACTGCCAGTGTATATCTTGAAACAGAATTTGGAGACTCTAATTTTGATTGAAAAAACCAGATGTCCAGATTTTATCCTTTCTTATGTATTATATTAATGTATTATTTTTAAAGTACTTTATGTAATTATACTGTGAGGCATTTTATCTTACTGTGGTTATACAGGTTGTTGAGAAATTGTGCAGAAATGAAAACCAGAGTGATGAAGTACAGTAAATTTGCATGAATTATGCTCCTTCTTTCTTAGATATTTGGGCAATTGGCTGCATATTTGCCGAACTATTGACTTCGGAACCTATATTTCACTGTCGTCAGGAGGACATCAAAACAAGTAATCCTTTTCATCATGATCAGCTAGATCGCATTTTCAGTGTAATGGGGTTCCCTGCAGGTAATTTATTTTCATTAAAGTGTCAGACATAATGCTACTGAGTTGATTTTTTCCCTAAAGGAAATGACTAGTTGTTTGTATAGGTATGAAGAAGCTGTCAGTTTGATGGATTTGGAAATGCTGACAATTACGGAACAATAGCACTGGCTAACAGAAAGTCAAACAACTGCTGTAGCTATTTCTTGTCGTGTATTGCTTAACCTACACTTTCAGAATGGTAAATGCTTCTTTTTTTCCCCCACCAAAGATAAAGATTGGGAAGACATAAGGAAGATGCCAGAATATCCAACTCTTCAGAAAGATTTTAGGAGAACAACGTAAGTGATGATAATACAACAACATTTCCATGAATGTAGCATATAGGCAGGAGTTGGCTCCTATCCTCTGACTTTTTGAGGAGGAGATTTTCATGTGTTTGGGTTCTAACACTGTGACAGCTCTCCTGTTTTGAATTAGCTGGTTTGCTCGAACAGTGGTCTCTTCCTCAGCTGCTTGCTAAAAGCATCAACTGAGTGGCCACCTCATTTCTCTAGAAGGCGTCGTCATAAGTGCCATTTAATCTATGGCAGGCACAGACAAATGAGCTTGCTTAAACCATTTGTATTAGCTGTTCAAGATAACTTTCTTCATTTTGTGTGAGAAAACAGGGAAGCACCTGGTCCTTTTGACCAGTACATATGTGGAGACAATAAAGTATTGGACAGAAATTTGGACAGAAATTTTGATGGAAGGTAACATGTTCAATAGGTTGTGATACAAAGCCTATTTGGGATCCGAGAATTTTCCACTTCTAGTGTTTCCTGGTGCTTTGGCTGAATTAGTCAAGTAGTGGTGATAGATCAGAGGGTGTAAGGAGCAACGCAGACACTGTTGTAAGGCAGAGGACATGGATTCAGGAGTGTTGGATTCTGTTTCCAGCTCTGTGGTGGATTCATTACACCGGCTTTAGACAAGATATGGAGCTTATCTGTGCATGAAGCTTCTTTCATTTGAAAATGGCTGTAGCTAACCTCTGGATTTGTAGATTAAAGGCAAGGCACGGGTCATACGTATTTGGGGCATTTTTGAGCTTGGGAACTGTGTGGTTTGCTGCAGGCTGGAGTCGGGGAGGCAGAATGGTGAGCTAACTCCTCTCCAAAATTGCAACTGGAAACAACTTCGTAGCTTAGCTGTTGTGCTGTTACGAACTGCTGTACGCTTTCTGTGGCAGAGTTGCTTTAGGAAGTTAGAGTATAAACTTCAAGTTGAGTTTCTCTGTCATATGCCCATGTCGACAGCTTATCCATATGCTCTAAAAGTTGCATGTTCCATGCAAATACAGTACGCAGTTGATACTACTACTGTTAGTGAAAAGCATACTTTATTTGTGCAGCTGATAAATATCTGATGTTTTCTGATGGCAGTTCTTTTTACAGTTTACTTACTACAAGCTGGTAAATGTTTTTGTGATCACTTGGTACAGCTCCATATTCTTAATGCTGTATTATTTCAGAAATGTCTTTGTTTAACTGTATTTTTCAGATATGCCAATAGTAGCCTCATAAAATACATGGAGAAACACAAAGTCAAGCCTGACAGCAAAGTTTTTCTTTTGGTAGGTACAACTTGAAAATCACTGATGATAGGAATGAAATGCGTTTCTAATGGTAATATCTGTGTCTGTTCTTCTGTCTCACTCTAATGAACACTGACATTAAAGAAAGCTGTTTATCACTAACGGGCCATTTTTGAGATGTGTTTCCTTCATATATGTTCATGCTGAGGGTGTGCTTAAACTGCTGGTATTGAAGATCTGAAAGTCTTATCTAATTAAGATCCGCAAGGCACTCATATACCCAGCCTTACCCTTAGGTCTACTGTGCAAATAGGATAATGAGCATTATATATCCCTTGATTCTGTGCTGTTTCAGAGAGCTAAAGAGCTCCCAAGAGCTAAAAAGTTTTGTGAAGAAGGGAAAGAAGAGAGGAGAAATTTAATTATTTGCTGTAGTAATTTTCCTTTTTTTTTCCTCTCTCCTTTTTCTTCCCTCTGATAATAGTCTACCTCTGTTCTGTGAGTGATTCCAAACAATGTCCCTAAACATGTATTTGCTGGTTACCTAGTTGAGTTATTCATTGTAGGTGAGTACAGAGTGCTCTGTCTAATACAGCATCATTTCTGGATGCCTCTGTGATGACTGAGTGCTGTCTAAATTTAGGAATGAAGTTCAAAGTGACTTTGCTGGTGCTGTGAACAAGGAGTCCCCGTAATGAGGCTGTTAGAGCAGCTTGAGTTCTAGTGGCCTCTTTTCATCAGCATAGCAGTCTTCTCTCTAGGTCCTGGCAAAGATTTGCTCTTTGACTTGTTAGTAGCTGTTGGATGATGACACAAATAGGTGTGGAAACAGAATAGGTCGGTCCCAAGTAGGTGAAAGGGAAGCATTCACATAAGAAGCATGAGACTTCAAGAAAAAACAATTAAAACTTCTTAAACTCAACTTACATATTGGAATAATCTGGAGGAAAAGTCTAGCTGGAAATAGGACAATTGTAATAGATGTTGTTATTTAGCACCTGAATTTCCCCATTTTTTTACTAAAGGTGGAAGCCACCAGAAAGCCTGTTGGAAAGGCAAAGAAGCAAATGGGTTGCTGTCAGCTTATATGGCTGATTCATCAAGGCTATGAACACTAAGTTGAGAGTCGTCTTCGGTGGGTAGGCTACTTTTCCAGGGGGAAATATTAACAAGATCTCTAAAGAACACAAAACTAATCATAGGGTGGTAAAATATATATGTTTATACACACACGCACATATATACGCAAAGGAACTTTTCATGGTGGAGAAGTAGTAAGACAAGGTTATTACAGGGTGACTGAACAAATAGATAGGTGTCTACCTATGTATTCCCCTATATAATTGTGAGAATGAGAACTGAGATTTCCAAAAGTCTAAGGGCTCTTTCTGAACATCATGAAGAAGACTTAGCTAGATAGGTTTTCTTAGTCAAATTTTTCTTCACTGTTCATAATCAGGGATGAATAAGGGTGGTTTAGTGATCAACCACATAGATGGAGGCTGGTCTCAAATAGAGCTCTGCGTAAGAATGCCCAGGAACACGGGCAACCTTCTTAATACCTCATTGCTGCACTGAGGAGGTCCAGATACCTAAATTGCCACAGCCATGCTACAGCAAAGAGGCTCAGTACCTGCCTTATCTTGTGAAAGATCCTAAAAAACAGCAGATCTTGAAGGAAAGGCAAGCATTGCTCTCCCAAATCAATAGATAAGAAATGTGTCTGCTGATGAGCTTGGAGGTATGTGTATTCTGAAGCAGACTCCCTAAAACTCCTTGTTTATAACCAAGGTAGTTATATAGGTTTTTTGAGGTAACCTCCATCTTGCAAGGTGACCTCTGGAGACATCTACTTTGTAACCTTCATTGGTCAAGACTTTGTGCTAATGAGCACAGAAAGCATGGCACATAGAGAAAATATGGCATCAAGTAAACTGGTGCAGGACAGCAAGTGACTCTTTATCAAGAGGAGGATATTGTGCCACTCTGCTGATTGACATTGAATGTTAATATCTACATCAAGGGCAAAAATGTTTTCCATCCAGGAAGAGGCATCTGTTCTTGCCATCCTGGAAAAGTTACAGGCATAGTATTTATAGCTATCGTGTCAGGCCAGTAGAGCCTGACAGCGAACAATCTTGAGAGCTGCTGAGAAGTATGAGACTTGATGAAGTCCAGTCTCATGGGCTTTCTATATTGTGTTAGTAGCTGCTACCATGAAAGCAAATTGAGTCCAGACATTTTTTATTGACTTTCCTAGGAGCAACAGAAGCTACAGAAAACCAGACTTTGTCAAAGAAAGTTGGTTCACAGTAGCATCACTGATAGGCGGGATATCTCACTTGGAGTGGTGATGTGTGTGGAATGGGCAAACTGATTATATTCTCTGAGCTGGAGGGGGATTTCTAAGGGAATGAGCAGATCATTGAAAGGTCTAAGGTATCTTTAGATCTTCTGCTGTGGCCTTATCTTTGAATGATGAAGAATATATGTCATGTTTGGAGGCAGTTTGTGATGAGGGTGCTATATGGCAGAAAGCTGGAGGAGCTTTCTCTTGAGTGGTACTGCAGCAACCAGTTCTGAGGAAGGAGTCCAGGGGGAAGAAGCTGATGTCCTGTACTCATCTATCAATGACCGCATCTGCTACCGAATACCAGGACTGGCTTTATACAGAACATGAATGTTTGTCCCTGCAATCACTGTGAAGGAACTGGGGAGAAGAAATTTACATCACCTGTAGTGGTGTCACAAGCCACTAAAACTAACGAAAATTTGTGGCAAAAGCACAGAGAATTTTATAAGACCTCATCTATAAAGTAGGGTTAACCACAACTATTGACAAAGGAAATACAGGGAATCATCTTTCTTTAATAGGATGAGTGCTTTTATTGTACCATGAGGCTGTCTACTGTACCATATATATAGAATATAGAATTGTATATCAGATTTTTGATTTATTGGAACAAAAAGCCCCAAGTACCCATGCCAAAATCACATTATTTTTCTGAATATCCAGGGAATTTTTGTTGGAGGCCTGGAAGGTAGAGTTTGAACTAAGATGCCCTTTGCAGAAGGAATTTTATTTTCACTGTTGTCTTGAATTAAGAGTATTGTGTGAGAGCAGGATACTGTATGATGTATATTGAGCACCCAGATTTCCCACTGTGATTTTATCAGAATGTGATAAATAACTAAAATGGTATGTTATCCCTCTAATTCCTGTTTTATACTACTAATATATTGTAATCCTCTTTTATAGCTTACTGCAGTCAACAGCATTCTAGCTAATAAATTTATTATTGCTTTCCTCCTAGCAAGGAAGAAAGGTTGCTAGGAAGGGTCTGCTCCTCCTCTTTCTCATTTCAATACCAATTAGAGTGGGATTGGGAGCTCGTGACTGGCAGAGTGCTCTGACTGTGGAATGCCGCCAGTGCAAGAGATGAAGATTTATTGGTTTTGTCCCTAAAGTGATATGGAGAGCCCTGGTCACGTTCAGTCTCTTCTGACACTTTTTTCCTGTTGTGTCAGCAGTACAGAACAGTGTAAAAGCTATACATGTGCCACAACAAAACACCATTATTTAGAAATGATGCTTTATGAACCTGTAATAGCTAAATTTAGTGTCGCTTTAGCACAGTGGTTCAGCCTTAGCAATTAATATTGCCTGATACACTTAACTATTTCTTACATGAGAAGTGCTTTACTGCTGTAGTGCTTTGATGGATGTGCATTCTAGCTCTTGGGAACTTTACTGAACAAGCAAAGCTTAGGCTTGTCTGGACAAGCCACAAATAATTTAACAATCCACAATCCAAGACATATAAGTCAAAATTTGAAAAATGATAGTTTGATAAACTTTTTGCTATTTTTAATGTTATGCTTTGCAGCTTCAGAAGCTTCTTACTATGGACCCTACAAAGAGAATTACCTCAGAGCAGGCTTTGCAGGACCCCTACTTTCAAGAGGATCCTCTGCCTACATCAGAGTATGTATTCCCTCTTCTCTGCTCTTCAGGGGAGTCTTCTTTCTTCTAAATGCTAATCCTTGAAAGTGAGACAACAGCTGAAGAATTCAGATATCTGCCTATATCCACAAGAAGTCGTAGCTCAGGCATGCTCAGTAGAAACTGTTAGTGTAGTACTGAAGTGCCTGTATCTACTGGTAACCCAGTACCGCACTAGCGTTGTAATTCTGAATGCACTACCAAAGTTAGTGTGACAATATTACTGCAGTGTTTAGAGAATTAATGTGTGCCCTGTTCTGCCTTACGCAGCCTCACAGAGCCCTGTGCTGCGTTGCCCGGGTTCATTGTGCCTCTCCCTAGGACTAGGACAGTTCTCTGACCTACAGCCCCTTCCCATGCCCTCAGGGTAACAGTATGAGGAGAGAAAAGTGAAGAGATCAATGACTGCCTGAAATCCCACAGGTCTCTTGTTCAGAAGGCTTGACAGTACAGATTTTATATCTCTATATATATTATTGTCATGAAAAATTCAAATTATATATTCAGTTCCTACTGGCAGACTTTCCTCTTCCAGTTTCTCTTCCCAGTTTTCATAGCATTATGATGTCTAGGAGCTGGATACAGGGAGTCTTCCACCTTTGCTTTCACTGCTTCCTGAGCTAGCAGTCAACACTAAAAGGAGGGAACAGCCACTGGAGTGCAAAAGGAGTCTAGCTGAGAGTAGTTGGAGGTTTTTTCTTTCTTTTTCTGTTTGGATAAGCCAAACACTACATAACAGCTAGACTAGGAACTGTTTACACACTTTATCAATCTGACATGATTTTTTAGTATTCTGAATGCTGGCACAGAAATCTAAGAAATTGATATTGGTCAAGATCTATTAGTAATTTTCTATTTAGTGTTTGTCTGATACTATCCTATGTAGAGCTAGAGCTCCCCATGGGTTACAGGATAACATTATGATAAAGTCTCTGCCATAAATGTTAAGGAAAGTTCCAAATCCCATTAGCCAGCTGAATTTAAAAGCTATCTTTTTTTTCTCTAAACAAGGCTTGAGAAGCTAATTGAAAGCAACTCTGCAGTTGTGATTGGCAAATATATTTAAGCCTGCTGTAAGCCAAGGCGGGCTCATAAGACATTAATATGGATTCTTTGGATCAGGCCCTTTATTCAGTGAGCCATGCATGTTCCAACTAGGTGCTGTGGAGCCTCTGACACTGTTTGTTCATTTTGCCATCTGGATCAACGAGTGGTCGTTCTGGCATTCAAACATGTTCAACCATGCCATGATTTCTAAATGATGGCCTCATACCAACAGCAAAGAGATCTGACATTACGATCAGCACCCAGATGCTGGTATCTGCTTCTGTCTCGGGTGCTCACGGTGCCACTTAGTTATGGAAACAGGACTCGTGACATACAAGAAAGTAAATTGTGGTGCATTCACTTGGTTTTAGCATTAAGCATTAAGTAAGTGGATGTCGTATGTACATATTTGTTGAGTGTTTTTCTGTTCACTGTGTTTCAGTGTATTTGCTGGCTGTCAGATTCCGTATCCTAAAAGAGAATTCCTCAATGAAGATGAACCTGAAGAGAAAGGGGATAAGGTATAATAAGCTCCCTTTCTTTTTTTTTTTTTCTATTGAGTGTCCAGTAAGAGGGAGTGGTGGTGCTACCAAATGAAAACTAATGAAACATGAAGAGTTAACCAAAAATGTGTTTTCCAGGCAAGGCTCTCTTCAGATTGCTTCCTAGACAGATTAAAAGTATCAGATGACTTTGGGGCATCTGAGGCGGTATCACCAGTACGGTTTGCCCTGACCTGTGGGGAGTGAGCTGGATGGCTTGTTCTGTCAGCAGTAGCTGCTTTCAGCTGCCATCACTTCAAGAGGACCTTGCTACCTCCTCCTGCATTGCATGATGAAAATACATTGTGATCACATGAAAAGAATGGCATTTCCATTGTATGACTGGCATACATCCAGCCATTTGAAAATAGATGGCTGTCAGGGTCTCAAATAAATAGTGGCAGCCTGCTTCTGGCACTACATCAGAACATTTCATCCATCTGCACATGGTTTCCTGATCATGTTTTAAGGGCCCTCAGACAAAGGAGTAATAAGGAGCATGAACTGTTATGGTAATGACAAGCTGCTCTGAATACTCCCTTTCCCATAGCCCCATAGGCACGGGCAAGAACTTGTTTGCGTGCATAGTAAATTTTGGTGTGTTTGCAACACAATCTGACCTGCTGTGTGCGTGTAGCTCAGCTGTGCTACGTGACCACAGTGATTGTCCCATCATGCTGTGAATGCTGGGCAGTACTGCTCTAGTGTATGAAACAGCTTGTTATTTTGCTTAAAAGTGTAAAGTGAGACACCAACAGTAATGTATAGCTACCAAAATGTGAAGAAAACAGTCATAAACTGTAACTATCTGAGGAGTACATGAGAAGGACTGTTAATCTTCTGGAGAAACCATTTGTCTACATGCATCTTCTGGTTTCAGATTTTCTGCGTAACATGAGAAACTAGCTGAGTTTAAAAGTATGCTTATCACAGTACATTTCAGACAGAAAATTTTGTTTTAGGAACAGATACTGTAGATTCTTCTGTACTGAGTACAAGTGTTAACGTCCTGAATTTTTATGTCCAGATAGTTTTTTCAAAAAGATGAAACAGACACCTAAGCAAAAATGCAATGAAAGTCATGATACTAATTTGATTGTAATTTAGACTAGTTTTGCTTCAACTCTCACAACTTAAAAAATGAGAACAAACCTTAGGAACTAAAATTACTCTGGCTTTTGTTAGGTCAGTGCATTTAGAAGTAAATATCTGTCTTTTTCCTGGGAGTGTTGGGAGAGAAAACAATGGCATGTTTATATTCAAAACAGCCATTATATAAATGGTGTTTGAGATTGTTGGGGACAGTCACGTATTTATGCGTACTCCAAATTAAACTTTTTTCAGGCCATTCAGGTAATTTAAGCCACACATTTCCCATTGAATGTATTTTCACAGTGCAGAAAATGTGAAGGTAAAGGATATTCTGCAAGTTGGGTCTGCGCCAGGTTTTGTTTCTTCATGATGTTGCTGCAAGTGAAAGGATTTTTTAGTTCTTTTTTTTAAATAGTGTTAGTTTCTGGTTTCTGGAACTAGATGGTCTTTGAGGTCCCTTCCAACCCAAACCATTCTATGATTGTATGATTCTAATATGTTGCTAACTTCAGATTTTTTATAGGTTTATTCATTTAGGAACCACCATGAACTAGACTGACCTGAGGACGATGTTTGTGCTGGCGTAAGCTGGTTTTGCGTGCTCAGGTGGTGCAGGTAGCCCCCAGCCAGACTCTGACAGAGTAGATCTCAGTGTCTACCCAGGCAGTAGCAGTAGTAGCTACAGAGCAAGTTCAGACCAGTCAGGTAAATTTTGTGCTAATATCCAAAGTGTGAAACATGGGATCTACGACAAGCTGTTGTCTTTCATTGTGAGAGTACCTGCAATATTTGTTTACATGTAACAAAACTGCAGTTTTTCAGCTCTCACTATAGCAACCACCTCACTTGCATCCAAACACCCCTATGAAAACACAAATTTTGGAATTCTAGCACAAATATCACCGTAGTTATTGGTGTTTGTTTGTATAAGTGAAGCTCAAACTGTTATGAAAAGATAAATTGCTTCTTAACAATTATATTTTTTTACAAGCTAGTTTGATTAACTTTTAAAATTATTAATGTTTAAATCTCCCGGGAACAGAATCTGACTGAGATGGGATTTGAGGACTACAAGCTGGAGGATACATTATTGGTTTTGCTAAATGCAAAATGGAAGCGCAAACCACCTCTAAGTCTGTGAACATGCAAGACTTATTTATAATCTTAAATGAATACATCATTGCAAATTTCATCTGAATTTATCTCGGGAGACCGTTGTAATGAATGGCATAGAAACAGATCTTTTATGTCATTTATCTGAGGTAACTAAATGCCTCTTGGTGATTTGGGGCATCAAGAATTTTCTACTAGTGGCAACTGGTTGTCATGATTTCTGAAAAACTAATAAAGTGAGGTTTTTATAAAAGGCTGCCATACTAAAGCTTTGATAATTATATAAGCAGATATCCTAGGAAAAAAAAGACTATCCTGAAAGGTTCAATACAGTATATTGGCAGGAGAGGGTAGTAAGGCTTTTTAATTCAAGCCATGACAATGGTAGGTTTTTTCCTTGATGAACAAGTGACATCTCTCACATTTAGAGTGAAACTGCTCTTCTTTGCAATTCTCTTACGTGCTTTAGTGCTCTGGGGGAGCAGCCATCCCTGGTGCTCGAAAGCAGACAGATGGGTGGTCTTTCCTTGTAACTGTCTAACCATGGAGGGCAGAGTTGCACTCTGCTGGTTTTCTAACCTTCCCTCCAGTTCCATAATGCTCTTTTCAGTCTGTAGCCCTCTGAAGCCAGAAGAATACACTATCTTTTGCTCTTGTGTTCCCCTTCTTAACTTTTTTCTCCCTTTTGTGGCACTTTTCTCTTTGACTGTCCTGCCAGGTCCTAGTGTCATCTTAATTGCCTGCCTTCTCTTCCTTTGCTAGTCTTCTCCTTCCCTTGCCAGATTCTTCCCTCAACTGTTTCCTCCTCTTTAGTCTTCAATGATTTGTCTCTGGTCAATTTTTGCTTTTCTGCTGATTCAATAAGATTTTCTGACCCTATACTGAGTGTACCGTGCTGGACTGTATACCCAGCATCCTACTCTTTAAAAGGAACTTAAAAGAACAGGAGAGTAAAACAGTAATGAAACCCATTTCTGGTTCTGCCATGGAATTTCCTTGCACCCTGGAAGAAATTATATCATTTACCTAGGTCTCAGTTTGCTTACCTTTCTGGCAATAACACTGCCAACCTCCTTTGGGTTATTGTAACGTGTCATTTGTGAAAGTTTGAAAAGTGTTCTGGATTCTGAATGAACAAGCACTTAGAATAATTTACTGTGGTTCACCACATCTGCCACTGAGCACTAGTGAAATTTTGGGGTTCTCATTCAGTTCATGAGGCAATTACTGCTTTATAAATGGTTCCTTCCACCCTCCTCTCTGAGCGCTTGGCTAGCTGTAGGAGTCACTAGACTGTCCTTCCAGTTTTAGTCTAGCTTGCTTTGCCAAAAAACCAGAACAACCACAACAAAACCCAAAAGCGAACTGCAAATGGGATACCCCCATAAAGTGTACAAGAGCGTACTGAGGACATGTTTTTCCTGACACGCAGCCTTGCTGTGTTTTCCCATCGAGCAGGCGGGCTTACCTCCTCCTCCACAGGCACGGTGGCGCCGGGGTTGGCAGCTCCATAAAGCTCACAAACCAGTTCAGAGCAAGTGATGGTGTTGTGTTGCTCCTTCCCCTAGAATCAGCAGCCGCAGAACCAACATCAGCAGCAAACAGCACCTCAGCAGCAGCCGCAGGCAGCGCCGCAGCAGCCCCCGCCCGGGGGCGGCCCCGCGCCAGCCGCAGCCGCAGCAGCAGAACAGCACCCAGACCAACGGGACGGCTGGGGGCACTGGCGCGGGAGGAGGGGGCGCGGGCGCAGGACTCCAGCACAGCCAGGACTCCAGCCTCAACCAGGTGCCTCCGAACAAGAAACCACGCATAGGGCCTTCAGGCACTAACTCAGGCGGGCCTGTCATGCCTTCAGATTATCAGGTACCTCTTGAATTTTTGCTGCTTTGGATACCGTAGCACCAAAAAGTCATGTTCCCCCTTTCCTGCTGCAAGAACAGATTGTGTTTTGATGAATTTCTCAAGGAACCTGAGCAGGTGTGCTCTGATGTATTAGATTAAAATATACGTTTAAAGGTTTAAAGTAAAAAGGGTTTGTGCTGTGGTTAGTAATTTTCAACAGAATACCAGTACAAGTCGTATCTGCTGCACCTTGTAAAGCATTGAGGACTACTCCGCTCCAGGAAAGCGGAGTAATATATATGCTTAACTTTTAGAGTAATCTCACTGAGGCCAGTGGAGCTATTTCATACACATAATTGCTGCGTTAGATCAAGTTCAGGATACTGGTCCCTTGGCAATATTAAATCCTGTGTGAGAAGCAAATCCTGAGAAGCAGATCCTGAGAAGCAGAAGCAAAGTGAGGACCAGGCTCTTTCATTTAATGATTCCTGCCTCCGTCTACCTCGTATCATCACACCTATGGAGCAGTTCTGTAGTTTATTCCACTGTCTTGCTAAGTCTACTTCTAATGTTAAAGGAAAAAAATGCACGTTCACACAGGAATGATGTTTTGGTTCAATAGTATGATTCATGCTGAAGCAGGGCACAAAGACACGCATTGTTTCTGATGTGACTGAAGTTGAATAGATTTCATGTTTTCCAGTACAGTAGCATTCGTAAGTAGAAGCAGTATTACTGAATTATTTTTGGATTTGCATACTTGTCTTTGCTTACTAGAATTATATTTTCCACTGAAAAAATGACTTTAAATACAGAAAGCATCGAACTTACCAGCATCTTCAATACTTGTGAGTTTATACTTGCTGGGACAGTAATGAGATGAAAGCAGAATAAGAGAAAGGTAGATGTTAAAGGTAGATTTTAAAAGATGTTAGGGATTCTGTGTGCTACTAGCCTTCGAGAAGATCCCACCTTGGAGAATGGTCTTTTCAGGCTGCTTTAAACTTAAAATAAGTAGCTTTTAGAAAACTCAGCTCTGGAGTTGCCTTGACTTAGCCCTCCAGATCTTCTCGACAGACAATTGATATCTCAGTGCCAGACATTTTTCTCCCATTTCTGTTTTACTCTTTTAATTACAAACGATCATGAAAGCATTGGGGCAATTTAAGGGTAAAGACAACTAGGTTTCTTTTTTGAAAAGTTCCAGACAGGCTTGAGGTCTGGACAGATCACTACAGCTGTCTGACTACACAGTATTTATGGCGGGCCTGTTTTGCTCTGTATTTTGAGGACTGGTGTGCTGCATTTGATGATATCCATTATAGAATCCTTATACAGTTCTCTGAATTGTTGGCAAACTTCCCCCTTACAAGTTGCTAGCAGTCTAAATATTTTTTTTTCCAGATTTTTTTTTTTTACCCCCTATGACTCCTTCCTTCTAAACTTTAACAGCACAGGCATCAAAATTATGATCTGTATGTTTCCTTTACGTCACTCGCTAAATTGTATGGTCTGATTATCTGTTTTTACACTTGCGTTTGGCTATCTGTCCTTAAATTCTAGCTGACTGTCTTCTGTTCCAGAAAGGAATGTCTGTAATTTGTCCAAGTCTGACTTTGTTAAAAACAAATTCTCTTCTGTGGAACAAAAATAAGCATGGGCAAGTTAATGCATTCTTGTAGTCTTATGGCATTGATTTTGTTCCATTATATCTTATTCAGAAGTAGGAAGAAGATTCCCTTTGCTTTGAGTTTCATTTAGCTTGTGATTTAAAGTCTATGTTGAAATTTTTTTGTAGTTCACCAACCCCCATACATGTTGCTTCCACAAATGACAGTGGAAATTCCTTGCTGAATTTTACTGAGCATTCCTTATGTGACCTTGGGGGTTTTTTGCTTAGCATGGTAAACTGATGCTTTTCATCCAGAACAAGTTGCTATAAAGTCATAGTATTTATCATAATTCTTCTTTTCTGTTAGAAGTTGCAAAAACTTTCAGAATTTTGAGACAAATTCCAGGTTTTAGACACTGTTAGCAACCTAACCATGCAGACCAAGCATCATTGGGTTATTAACTGCATACATGCCACTGGGAGATATCTCTTCCAAAGCCAGTCTGCTGTTATCTCCCAAACTGACCCTTAGAAACAAGGGAGGTTACTCCATACAACTATTAGTTATATTGATATTATATTGAGATACAGAGGTCTGCAAGATTGGACCATTATCTCTCTCTCTTGCCTCACTGTGCTTCACCTTGAAAGCAACCTTCGCATTCCTACATTAGACGGAACACTGAAAAAATAATGTGATATTTTTAGGGTTTACCATGTTTTACAATTTATGTAGAATTAAAGGTATAAAGCTATGTACAGAAACAAAGGGCAGAAGTGTTTTACACTGCCTGAACTGTAGGTTCCTGCTGTTCATCATCCAGCTGAAGAGTTGTCAGGAGGCTTTCACAGCTCTCCTGGTTGGGATCTGATGGTTAGATGAGACCACTGACTGGAGTATTGCCTTCACTGAACAGATGCTTGGTCTGTGGAGGATGTTGTATTCTTACAGACCCACTGTGTCCGTGGGGTTACATTCAGAACTCAAGCTTCTCCAGAGGCTCACAATCCTGATACTTAATCAGAATGTAGATTCTTAACACTTTTCCTAGATAATTGCTGTTGACCACAATCTTGCTGATGACCCTTGGACGTAGCCAGGTAGAACCATCCACTAGACAGTGAACAGAACTCTATTGAATGGCTGCCTGACCCTGTGCTTAACTTGGCTGGAAACAAACTGTTTGCTGTCCTCAAACAGTTTTGAGGTTTTTTTGTAGACGCTCCTTTCTTATGGATTGCGGTTGGGTTTACCTTGCTAGAGAGTCTCCTATCCATTGAGCAGTACTTTTCATGCACAGTGATTTTGCAGCTTGCTTCCCCCTCCCCCTCTCCCCCAGCTTTACATTATTGCAGCTCATTATTAATTCTGGACAGGCAATGGATATGGTAATAAAAGGGCAAATTCTGCATGCTGGAGGTCACAAATGATCCATGAATTTGGCTTGCTGAGATTGAGGTCCACTGAGCTAACATCCCAAACAGTGGAGGAGAAAAAAAACACTCAGGAAAATGAATGTTAGGTTATTGCACATACACATGCTCATCTTTAAGCAGTTGTCCTTGCTTACAGTAGGTAAGGCAGCAGGTTAAAAGACTCACCTAAAATTATACTATTTTATCCTATTGGACATTTTTTCATCTAGATAAATTGAGCAATTCTTAGGTCATGGTTGTCTTTCTCTCAGGAACAGAATAAATTGTTTCTCTGTAACATTTACTATTACCTGTCTCGAAAAGGGTGTTTTGTGGCTTAGCAGTTTGTATTTCCATTAATAGCGCTTACAATAATGTTAGACACAAGTTTAAGAAACAGCTGAATTTTGAAATGCAATCTGCTCTCTTGTGTATTTTTCCCTCAAAAAATGGTGTGTACACGCCGTACTTGTAGGTGTCTGCCAGTGACCTTGTGTATTTTGTGTGTGTGTTAAGGCTGACTGCAGATCCGATCAGTTACTTGTTTTATGGGACCTTCAACAGTAACACTGTTTAGTCAGCTTCTCCGACAGTTGTATTGTAATGAGCTGCAGAGAGGTTAAAAATTTCCTGAGCTGCATAGTCCTAACAGGCTGGTTTTCATTCCCCTGATCCCACTCTCTTTTCCTGCAGCACTCCAGCTCACGCCTGAGTTACCAAAGCAACATTCAGGGATCTTCTCAGTCCCAGAGTACAATGGGCTATTCCACGTCGTCTCAGCAGAGCTCCCAGTATCACCAGTCTCATCAGTCTCACAGGTACTGAGAGAGGTAACGGACTGCACTCAGAAAGGAACGGACTAAAAGCCAGAAGACTCCAGCAATATGAAGTTCATAACAACGAGAAGAACCAAAAATAAAAAAAACTATGATGCAGAATTAAAATTGACGATGATAAAAGGAAAACTTCACTCACGGAAGACTTTCTCCCTGCCCCCCGTCCCTTTATTGCCATAAAGGAGATTCTCGTGAAGTTTTCCTTCCTCCCTGCCCTTGCATGTGCTCCATTGTGGTTACTCTAATGAACCCTTCTGATCTGAACCCAGCACTTAACTTTAACCTTTGGAATTTTGAAGGATTCCTGGTGCACCTTCCTTTATGCTGTAGTGATTGCCATAAATCTGTCTTTTCAATCTCTTTGATGGGATTTTAAAGTTTTAAAATCTTGAACTCCCAGGCTTTCAAGCTTGTATATAGTTAGTTTTATACTAGGCAAACCAGTTTAGCTATACAGGTATATTGCACCTTTTTAAAGCACTATGTTATTTTCACAGGATATTACTGTTTTGCTCATGGATGTCAAGAACAGCAAAATTTTACTGTTCCAGAGTATTTTACTATTCTGTTTTTATTAGTCTAGTTTTTGGGCGAGGTCTTAAAAATAAAAAATTTTAAAAATAAAATAAAATTAAAAAAAGAAAAAGGAAAAAAGAAAAAAACCCATCCAAGTCTCTGCAGCAGCAAATATATTTCATGCTACTGGACTGAATGCCAAATAGAAGATTGCTGATATTTCTTAACTCGTTCACATTGAATTCTTGAAATCACAGTGATCATGCTGTGAGTAGTTTTAAATTAAGCATTATTTTAAGTGAAAACAGGACAGTCACATAAAAAGAAGATGCTTTCAGGATCTGTTGGAACAGAAGAATGGAATGTCTTCCCAGGCTGGACACCAAAATAGTCAGGAAAAGGTACTTACTGCCCTCAAGTCTTAGTAGGAATGTGGATGACGGGCTTGTTTTTCTGTTAAGCAGCTGATTAATGTATGTGAGAGTTCTATAAATTTAGCTTTCTTTCACATTCCTGAGTCAGTTTTCTAAATATAAAGGTGATAGAAATACTAAGACTTGCAAAAACAAACGCATTTAATCATTTTATGGTAGAATCAATAATTAAGAGAAATTATTGTGCAGTTTGAAAAGCGTGTTGAAAATTGTTCCTTTTCCATGTTTATAATGCATATTCTGTGTCCCCCACATTGCTGTGATTAACCCAGATTAGTTACACCAGATGCGCTTGATTGCACTGAAATGTTCCTTTTTCCCTAGAGCAAACATGTTTTGATTGTGCCTAAGGACTGTAAGTGGATGGGTAGCTGGCAGAAAATCCCCAGTAAATAAGCAAGAGCTCAGAAGCATAATCAGAGGTTCATTGTCCAACTTCTGGAACCACAGTTATTCGCAGAGGCACAACATGTAATTTGGGACAGCATTTTTCCTTCAGCCTTCAGAAATAAGGCTGGCTCGTGTTGCAGAAAACCTGGAAAAATACATTTAGAAAGCTACTAGCAATGTAACGTCAATGAGCTTCTACAACTGGTGTCCAGAGAAGAGCTGAAATGAGAAGAGTTTACAGGCTTTTATACCACAGTGTGTTCTTTTTGTCCTGTGTCCATACAAAAAAAATTGTATATACCCGTACACATTGACACTGAAGTTGCGATCAGACCTAGCAAGATGAGATGATCTATTTGCTCTGAGGAGAATGCTTTTTGTCACAGCTAGACATGTTTCCACTGGATTTGATCTCCCAATTACCTGTAGTGCCCCCTTCCCTCTCAGACGTGTTGTTTTGGCGCCTTTTGCGAGCAGTTGGCTTGCTTTGGCCATATCTACCATCGTGTGGTTTTGACAACACCCAGCTTCTCTGGAAAAGCAACTAAATCCTGCTTTTGTCATCAAATGGGTAAGAAGGTGGTGAAAATGAAATGAAGCCATTTGAAGGAAAAAAATAATCACAAATTATTTCTGGGGAAAAGTAATCCCCTAAAGGATACTTTCAATGTATAACCCTTGACGTGCTACATATTAGACATACCCCAGTCACCTGTTTGACATAACAGATTTTAATTGTTCCTTTATTTTATTTCAATGAGTCTGGGGTTACGTTACTTCCATAAGTGGAATGTCTCACCTCTTACTGATGTTAGGAGGAGATACCTTTGAGCTAATGGATATTTGGCCAATGCCATGAAGTAACATTTATTTTATATTTTTGTGAATTGAATTTCACATTTCTGTAAATCAAGCTTTGGCAGAGTAATTTTTGTCCCCTCCTGTGCTTTTCACCCTTTTGTTCTCTCAAAACCCTTTTGTCTTTTCCATTATAGTTATCTAACATTTCTTCCCCCTACTGTGACCTGCAGCTGATGTCAAAATTCATATAACATCAGGAGGTGGTGAGGAGACATGTTACTGTACGGTTAATTTAAGGTGGGCTCTTGTGCCAAGAAGGCAATATCGTGGTGTAGACGGATCTGTATGTAGAGTGTGAAACCTCACAGCACCGTAAGGTGCTTTAATTGAGTGAGCTTCCAGCTTCTAGGAGTCACTGCCACAACCTCTCTCTAAGCTGAACTGGTGTTTCTGCCTTGGTTAGGTCTGATAGGTGACCACATGCCAGTCCTCTCTAGATTTTGTGTGCATGCACGAAGCCAAGCTGACTTCCTCCGTTGCCTTCAAACTCACAACTGAGAGGAAAGCAAATAAAAGCAAAAGTGTTTGCTGCACAATCTAGGCTGTGCACTCTCTTCTGGTTCCTTTCTGGTGGTAAAATAAGTCACCTTTTCTCAGGAGCTTGATGTGTGTTGCCAGGGTGGGTGGCAGTCATAGTGGAAGAAGCCTTGCTCTCCGGGGGTCATCCTGTGAGGTAAAAACGCTCTGCTTTCAGAAGTGAATCGTGCAGTGTGTCGTGGGAAGCCAGGACCACATCATTTTGATGTTAATTTTTGCCCGTGCGGTTTCGTTAGTACTCATAACTCTGTCTCTGCCCATAACCTTGACATCCTCACCAAAGTGTTCTACACCGGTACCAAGAGAGGCGGGTGACACCGGCAGAGTTGCCTTCTCCATCCTGGTCGCCTGGTGGGAGAGCGGGCCGCTGAGTACAGCTCTTCCCATCACGGCTCAGAGGAAACAGATGTGTGGGGAATGAATGGGATGAGTAGCCTGGTCCGTGTTGGTGAAGTTTACGTAGCACAAACTGCACAATGAAGGAAAAATATAGGGAAAGCTGCGAGTCCTGCACTGTATCTGTGACACTGTATCTGGGGAGGGGGAGGGAAGAGCATTCGTAGCGGGAGGGGTGGCGGGAAGCTAGAAGTGTTCAAATATGTATAATATTTTATATAAACATAATAAGCTTAGTTCCCCTTCATAATCTTCAGGAATGGTACTTTAACACCATTAAGCAAAGAATTGTTTTAGGATTAAATAAATGTATTGTACATAAGGCCATACGTAATCTTCTAAAAATGTCGCCAGACAGGAGCGATGTGTATTACTATATGAAAAAAGTCCTTAATGCACTGTTATCTCCTAAATATTTAGTAGTAAATTAATACTATTTAATTTTTTTAAAAATTTGTCTTGTGTAGACACTAAAAAGTATTACACAAAATGTGGACAGAACATGTCCTTTTTAACAGCAATTTAAAGAACTTTTTATATATGTAAGGTAGTATCTTTTCAAATTGTTCTAGTTGTATTTTCCCATGTTTACTATTTGTGGAAGTGTGCCTGTCTATTCAGTTACTATTTTTTTTCTAATAATTTCATGCACGCATCTTTCATTTTTGTAGTTTTCATTAGAAATTATTGTGTATGCGCCTCATGCTGCCACAAAACTTTGCCGCTCTAGATCTGTGGTGGCCGCATTCGGCAGTGCCCATGCCAATGGGCTAGGAAAACCACAAAGCAAAATACTTGTTCCTCATTCTAGAGTTGAGAGTTTACTGTTTTTAAGTTGTCCTGATGTCACTCTTGAAATGACTGTTAAAGTTCCTTGCATTTATTTTATATTCTTGGTTGTAATGAAATGGAATTGACTTTGCTTCAGTGTGAATTTTTTTAATAAAATAATATACATTTGTAATAATAATAAAAAGTTCAAATCAAATAAGCGTGCTGAAAAGTTTTTGTAAACATTGGCTTTGGGCTACCAAGAGGGAAAATATAGCCCACAAAATTGCAGTTGTAATTATATTCAGGATGTTTATGATATCATACACCACACAAAACAAAGCTTGCAAAACCTCAGAGCTGAAATTACAGCTTTTAAAATGCCCACGAGGATATTCATGGTTATGTGTCTATCAAAATAGAATGGAGCCTTATGGAAAACAGAATCGATGGAGTCGTACACTTAGCTTTTGCCCTCAGCTTAAAAGTATTCTGACATGCCATGCTGATGCCACTTGTTGAGATTCGTTATTGCCTGACAATCCTATAGATGTGTCTTCTGGAAGAAAAAAAACAAAGCTGGTTTACTGCATTCTAAAGCTAAATGCCCTCTTACTACTTCCTCCTGCTGGACCTTGTGGGACTTCCAGTATTTCAGGTGACAATATGGAAAGCACGAGCCAGAGCATGTTGGTGGGGTTTCAAAGTGGGGTTTTGTGTGCTTTGCTAAGCTGTGTGTTTCTGTTCCATCTAACCATTGTTTCACAGGTGTTTCCCACCTGTCTTCTCCATAACAGTTGCATGGGTAAGAACGGTTGGGATTTACTTGCGCTGCCGATCATGTTAAGAAAGAGGCTTTGCTTTCTTATGTGCCTTTTGCACAAGGGTGAGAATAGGAGTAGCCTTTTGCCAAAAAGCTGAGTCTGCATCTCTGACACCTCATAGATAAAGAGCTGTTGCTTCTTCAGCCTCAATGCAACTGAGCATCCCCAGCTCTATAACCCTTGTAGTTTCCTTTCTGCTTCTGCTGTCCTCTTTGTTGGTAAGATTGTGCTTAGTCAGCAGCTTTGCTTGGATGTCCTTCTTAAAACCTCCTGTGTTGCCTTTGTCTCAGTCTTCATTCTTCTGTAGCATCTCACTGTTTTTTCCTACCTGGTCATGCAATTTTTACAGTCTAATCCAGGCTCATTGTACTGATCTGAATTACGGTGTCATCTCCTTTTCTGTCCTTGACAGCTAGACAGCTTAGATTTCACAGCCATTCAGAAAGTTGCAGAGTAGGTTGTTTCTTAGCCTCTTGCTTTGACTTGTTGCTTCCTGCTTTGCGTTACTGCCCTGGCTCTGCCATCTCTGTTGCATTAGATGTAAAGCTGCTCTCTTCACTTGTGCGTCACTGCCAAAGCCTGCGGTTACCCCATCCCTCTTACTCAAATCAAGAAGTTATCTGAGTTATCTCCTGGTCAACTGCTACACCCCTCATTTTAGATTTCCAAATAAGCATTTTTATGTTCTGTTTCCAATTGCCCATTGTTCCTGAAGACCTGTTGCATATATTTCTGAAAAATTCCCTCCCAGGTGTTGTGATGGATGCACTCCTACTGTTTGAACTAACTGAACTTTGGGTCTGGCAGATGCTCAGCAAGTAGACCTAACCGCGGTTAATCCTAACGTGAGCCTATCAGTGAGAACATAGCACCAAACCCAAAAAAAACCAGTTTGGCTGGAGACTGGGCTGATAAGCGGCTGAAACTGCATTAACGC